TTCCAACTGGTTCAGAGTTTCTGTTTTAATATTTAGATCTTTAATCCATTTTGATTTTAGTTTAGTGCATGGTGAGAGATATAGGTCTAGTTTTAATCTTTCAGCCACATTTTAGTAAAACCATAATCATGTAGTTTTTCCTGAACAAAACTTCTTCTAGTCAGTAGCCATATTTGTACTTTTAGTGTCATTCCAGCATTTCTCTTTTGTGAGCATTTCTCTGTAAAAAAAACTTTTTCTGATTGTTCATTAGTAATCTTTTACTATAACAAAGTCAATTTAAATGCTATGGAAAGGTTTGAGATGCTGAGGATCAGACCTTGTATTGGAGCTGAAAACCTGGACAGTAATAGTATTGTGGCACTTGAGAACCACTCCTATTTCTGTGATCTGTGATTGTCCTTGGAAAACAAAACTTCAGGCAGAGATCACGTGCTTGTAAGATGTTAGGATAGTCATTTAGCATTTCGTGTACTCCATGACCTAGAAAGAGCTAGCATCCCAATCCAAACCTTACAGAGAGAAAAAAAAGATACTTTGACATTTCTCGGACTCCTCTCAATTTGAGTGAATGTTTTTATTTCTTACAGTAAAAGACACATTGAAATTAAACCCTTTCATAATACTCTCCTTTGCATCAAACACTCATATTCCATCATTCTTGCCGTCTTCTGAAATAGTTTTGGAAGTCTGTTGTTCTTAAGTTGTGCTGTCATAGCTGCCTCAGTATCTTGAATCAATTCAAAATATTTGCTTTTATGGTCATTTTGACATAGGTGCCAGACATGACACAGTGCCATGTCTGGTGAATAAAGTGGATGAGAGCGTATTGTAATATTTTTAAAAGCTTGCCATTTCTGTGAATGGCAGTAAGCAGCAGCATTCACCATCTTTTTGATCACACATTGTAAAACAGTCATGAAAGACACCTAGAATTGCCTAAGAAAGTGGTAGGAATAATGGGATAACTGAAACGAGGGAGAGTATTTTGAGAGGGATTAATGGCAATGTTTTTTACTGTTGCAGATTTTTAAAAATATAAACATTTATTGACACCTCATGCATTTTTATTTTCTGCATTGTAGTGTAGGTTATCCTCCATGTGGATAAAGTGTCCTACAATGAATATCAGATTGTAAATTACTCGAAGGAACTCTCTTCTGTCTTTGACCTCTATTTAGTGCCGTGGTTTTACACATAATAGTAAGTTTATTCATTTCACTTATAGTTTTGGGCTGTGATTCATAAAGAACACTGGTTATTCCTCATGAGCAAATGAATTAATGATGCATCTTGCATTTATTGAGAACTTTTTCTGATTAAAGGTACCATCTAGGTTTCTAAGGCCGATTGAGGGGTTGTTGGGTCCCTTTTTTACCACTTGGCATTTGGGAGTAGGATAAAAAGTTCAGAATGTATCTTTTAACTGGATTCCACTTTTGAGCACAGGGAAATTTGCTTTTTAATTCTTTTTTTTTCCCCCCACTAAGTTTATTGGTACATTTTCGGTATGAAATACAGTTACATTCATCATTGGGATCTTGTACCTTTACGTGATGTATCTTGGTTCTTATTTTTTCCCCTTCCCTTGCCCTCCCTTCACCCGCTCCACCCTTCCCTATTTGCAAAGATTTTGTTTCCATTTTTTTCCTTTTCTCATAT